CAAATGCATTTGCGGGTCTTTTTTTATCACCATGCCGAAGTCATCAGCTCTTCACAGCACTCACTTTAGAACTTGATATCTGCTGTGAGGGATTCAAATCATCGTCACCAAGGTGAATCATAGGAGTTAGACTGTTCTATCTGTCAACATTTGTACTCGTGATAGGGAACATCAAATACGAAGTGTGCAAATGGCAGATGTTTCAGCTGGGAATGAAGATGCCACTCCGTTTAACCGAGACAAAAATCTTATATGCAATTGTTTACTGTCCTTACACATCATTAGATGCAGGGCAGTGGAATGAATAAAAGTTTAGCAGTGCGTTTTTAGAATGGTGTGTTATGCGGCAGACATTGCAAAAGACGTCAGACACAAGCACAACTACGCGTTTACATAGAAATCAATGGAAAAGCAGCACAGTGGAATGCAAAAATGGTCTGTATGTGATATAAAACCAACAGAAAATATCACAATTAGAATTTCAGTTCTATTCAAACTATTACTGTCGTATGTATTTCTGAGCTTATAAACATGGCTTGTTTCCAGAGAGCGCATTTGATTCCAGCGGCTGTCAGATGATCTGTTTCTATTTTTAGCAATACTAATTACCTTTCTGATTATATTATAAATCAGGGTTCAATTTGAAATCGCTCCATACACAAAACAAGTCAATTTGAAAATGAAAACTGAAGGGGAAAGAGACACTCATTATCTCAGTCTCTGAAATTGGCTAATAAGTAATTATTGCATGAAGCCGACAGTATCCAACTGATTCACTTACTCTAACAAGCATCTGGCAAAGACAAAGTTAAGGAAACAATTTGCACAGGCACAGCCTTTTTCTTCGGAAGGATGTGATAAGACAGAAATCAGTGACAGGAAATTATCTAAAGTAAGAAAAATATCTTCAGTATTCATAAATCGTCACCCAAACTTGAAATAAACAAAGAAGAACTGTATCTTGAGTAAACAAGCAATTGAAAAGGCAATATACAAGCACTATTTATGTATTATGATAATTACATGAGCATTGTTTAAGAAATATTAGTCATGATATAAAGGGAAGATAAAAAAAATGACCCAAAATTAATTAAACTCTAAAAAATTATGTGTTGGCTTTGCAAAATAGCAAATTTAATTAACAAGTAAGATATTACCTATCATTAGAGCAAGCATTGCTCATAGAGCCAATGTAGTGTTTACCTTAGCCACCAACAAGCTAACCACATCTTCTGCACAGTGTTAACCACAAAACTGCCCAATTTCCAAAAGTTAACAAGACAATTAGTTACTACAACTCAAATTACCAACATAATAATAATAATAATAATAAATTGTATGTATAATGCACTGCTACAACAGTGTAAAAAGACGGGTAAAATACAAAGAATACATTAGATAATACAACAATATAAAACAATTCAATACTAGTCAAGTCAAGTCACCTTTATTAGTATAGCGATTTATACAAAACTGATTGTGTCAAAGCAACTTTACAGTGTCTAACAGGAAAATAGTTTGTCAATAATGCAAGAAGACAATAACAAAGAGTCATTTTTCCAGCTAAAGTCAGTTCATTGATGATTCAGTAGTAAGCAGCTAACAATTAATCATGGTAGGCAATTTTAAAAAGGTGGATTTTCAACAGTTTCTTAAAAGTGCTTAATGTGGGAGCGCTTCGAACATTCAAAGGAAGCGCATTATGTCAACTGAAATTTCAAAATAATGTTTGCAACTTAAAAGGTTTAATTTAACCATTAAATCTGAATTTTTAACTTGCAACCATGCATTTATTTGTGGTAACAGGTCCCCAGAATTATTCTTTAGCAATGAAAGTCAAAGGAGTCCAGTGGTGTTTTGGACCCCTTTGACTTTATGTTTAAAACAGTTTCTCAAAATACCTTCTTTTGAGCTCCAAAGAAAAAAGAAAGTCATACAGGAATGACGCAAAATAAAAATGGGGTCTGTCCTAATCCTGCTCCTTTCCTTGAGCTCCAGTATATCCAGCACAGCAGTCAGTAACTATTTTGATCATGCCCATCTTACACATGGAAGTCTTATTGACATTTAGGCAATGCAAATGCTTGCCATTCCTGACCTGCGAATCTGTTAGTTCTAGGCTTTCCCTTCCACATCTGTCACTGCTTACCAAAAGCTCCAAATTAATAAAAGCAGGACAAGCACAGAAGGAAAAAAAAAACACCTTTCATGTTTCTTTCAGAGGGATTTCCATTTCATAAGAATCTCTCATATTTCCTTTTAACACGTATGGCTTTGTTTTTAATACTGAAAATGCAAAATGTTTCATACTCAACTGACCCTTTTATAATCATTTTCACCTCTTACACATATGAAGTGAATGAAATCTCAAGACTTATGTTTGTGGGTGAGCATTCCACATTTGTTCTTAATGCTGAGTATCTGTGGTGGGCTGAGTCTGACATATTTCAGCTCCGTGACAGTGGGGTCCTCCATTCACTCGCACCCATAGCCGCTCAGCTGTTTCTGCATGTTACTCCGGGTTACTCCGGCTGGCTGACCGGACATGTGCCGTTCTCCTGTTGCTCAAAGACTCAGCATGTTTCATCACGACAGGCTGCCTGTCCTGGTACCCATGCGGATTACGCTGGGACCCCCCGTCTGGAATTTTCCCCATCACTATACAGTGACGATAAACTGCCTTTAGGAACACAAGATGCTGTTTACAACATACTTTTCTCATGCGATACCTTCCAACTAAAACGAACCTAAGCACATACGGAAGGGCAACGTGTCTTTGTCCGCAACAGCCCTGGGTAAAGAACACAGAGAACAGCTATCTTTTCCGTGTATATTTCTCTCTGTCGCTTACTGAACACATCAAAAATGTCAGCCTGTAACTGATGGACATGCCCAGAAGGTCCAGCATGCTTTTCATGAACCCCCAGAAAGCCATTTGCTAGGAAGCAGCGGGTGGAAGAGAAAGCACACTCAGCCTTCTAGGGACAAGCTATCACTTTCACTATTTTTCACTATTTTAAGCTGTATTTAATCACATCTGAAGTACTAACCTCATGAACAGACACTTATCAGCATTTTCATAGGCGACACAATGGTTAATATGTTTCACAACACCACGTTTCTCCAAAGTTTGGAGCGTTCGCTGTGGACTAAAATGGAAGGCTACCACTCGTCCAAGTATTCATCTAAAATATGGGGTGTGATTTCAACCTTTGTACTATTCCTGAATCTATTTTATCCTATCCAGTAAAGCATAACTTGGCACCAAAAGTGCTGGCAAAAGACACCGGAGAGTTTCCACTGTACAAATACACTCCAGAGACTAGACACAGGCTTTTAAACATATAAGGTATAACACACCACAGAGAAACTGCTTTTGGCAAAGACTTTCGACAGTTCTGTTGATGAGGTGACTTAAACTATAACTTAACTTTAATCCAAATTGCATTACACAGATTGAAATTTCAAGGAACTCATAGATTTATGCTTAAAATTGCTTAAAATCACACTCCACATTAGCTGCAATGTATTTACATAAGCATTTACATTAAAAAATGTGTAACATAGCCACTGTAATGTAAAAGATTACCTTTTTAATTTACAGTCAGATAAATATTTATAGATTTAAGTGACTACTGAATTTGCAAAATCTAATTGCAAAACAGATTTTAAACATTGTTCTCCTTTTCAAAAACATAAATGAATTAACAAATAAATAAGGGAAAAATCATGTTAACATAAATCAAGAGAGAGAGATGGTACATTTTAGAGTAGGCTAGGCTATAGCCTATGTACTACAACACAACACAACACAGACTTACCAGCAGTATTTAGTGCTGTAGTCTGTAATTAAGCCAGGCAGCACACTTGAATAAGGAGATGTCACAGGAGATGTTTCTACAAGAGCCTACGTTTAACCATTATAAAGGTCCAACGTCCAACTTTTAAATCAAACAAACGCAATAGAGATAAAGAGAAAAACTACATAGGCTATGTCCTGAATAACTGAAAGAGTAACGACTTCAACAATCTGGCAATATGAATTATTTACAACAGCAAAGCTACTGATTTTTTTTCAGTCCACAAACTTCTGACTGAAATTAAGCTATTGGTCTAGACTGAAGCCTCTGATTAAAATTACAACCGATTTTTCAAACGATCCGGTACAAAAAAAAAAAGTCATCTTTTTAATAATTTTCCCGAGCCCTAAACTTAAGGCTGGAGTATTGTGCGTGCTGAAGGCAACATGCTGCAAATGCAGAAATCAAAGCGCGTGCTAAAGCTTGGCGCCTGATCCCCTCTCGCGAACACTTCAGGCAGAAAACCGTTATCTCGCAATAAACATGCCCCGCTTCAACTCAAACAGTTTCTAATCGTTAAAAACACCCAAAACTAACGAACGCATGGCTGCTCTAAAAAAGCAAAATGGAAAAACAACAACATCAAAACACCACTCAGTCCTCATTTGTTAATGTCATTTCAAAAACTTTTAAAGCGTGAACAAAGAATTGAGCCGAACGATCCAGCGAAACAAAACAGCACGAAATCAACTTTCTATGTGTGATTTATGGGATTATGAAGGCTGAGCTTTAAAAAGCAAATCTAATATTCCCGTAAACAACTCATGTAACCTATAGAATAAGGGAATTATTTTGGCGTGCGGATTATTTATAGACAGTCAGACAAACACGCAGAGCGGGATGCGAGTCTTCAGCCCGCGATGAGAAACATTCCAGCGCGAAACAACTACAACACGCCACATCCACCCGAAAATGTTACTTTTATCCCACTTTGGATTCAACAGCCACATCTAACAACTCATCTAAAGGAGCTAACGGGTTAGCTCAATAGTTTAGTTGGCTTAAAGAGACAAGCACTTCTGTGAAACAGGATGTTCACTGAAACACATTTCAAGAATTTTGATAAATGATTCACCACGATTTGCATCACCTTTGCCTATTCTATAAAGAAAGTATAAAAGTGTGGGGATGCGTACTCACATTGCATGGAAAGGAGAAGCAGAATGCAAGCCAGTGGTGTTAACGCCATCTTGGAGTCGATGAAATGTTCAGTTTGCCTGTACATGCGCAAAGTAAAAGGCTTTAGGAGAGGATGGAAAGGGCTGGAGCTCACCGACCGGAGAGAGAGAGAGAGAGAGAGAAAGAGAGAGAGGGGCACGTCGACCTATTGTGTTGAGTCTCCATGACTACAAACTACATCGTCGTCATGAATATTCAGGCTTTTTTAGGAATTGGCCAGTGAAGTTGCACCAGTTCCGATTGGAACATCATGCTTTTGTAGAGTTTACAATTTATTTATGAGAATCATTGCCGCTCAACATTCCACATATGACAGACTATCTGAGGATGGAAGGATCATGGACGTTTCTACAAACTTTGAAACTTTATATCACTATTCGAAATGACTTTCCATATTTCCAGTCTAGTTTCTCATTATTTTATCATATTTCACAAAGACACAGGTCAAGAGAATTTATAATCAAATAGGCTACAGCAATATCTACCCTTGTGAAAAAAGAAGTGTGCTTGAATCTGCATTTGCAGTGTAGGCCTACTTCAAATCTTAAAGGGGTCATATGATGCGATTTCAAGTTTTCCTTTCTCTTTGGAGTGTTACAAGCTCTTGGTGCATAAAGAAGATTTGTAAAGTTGCAAAGTCTCAAATCCAAAGAGATATTCTTTATAAAAGTTAAGAGTCAACCATGCCTACCTAAAACGTCTCGTTCTAACACGCCCCCACATATCTACATCACTATGTGGAAATATTAGCATAATGCCACCCAAATGTGCACGCAAAGAAAGAAGGCGTGGTTTCAGGAACAGCAGTCGT